GAAACCCAGCAGCATTTGCTGCCCATAATCAGGCTCTGAGGAATGCTGATAAGGTACATGCTGTATAAGACACTATCTACATTACAAGTTGCAGAATAACTTTGCTTTCAGAAATCCAGAGGATTCATGAAAGTTATTAAAGAAATATACTTACTGGATAGTTTTCTTTAAAGCTTTCTCTAGTTTCTTCACTTGGTGCTTGTGAAATTTTAATTCCTGTGCAGTTGGTCTGATGGAAAGAAAAAGCGCTGTATTATATGTCTTGTACTGGGAGGTATCTGTAAAATTTAGCCAAGCAAAAAAAAAAGAAACCTTTGCCAGTGCCAACACATTATTCTGGAAATTAAATTCTGCTACATTTCTATGTGATAACAGCAATAAACAGCAAACTAATCACTAGCAGTTGTTATTAACAGTGTAGGAAGGGGAGTTTGGCTGTCACTGCCATATCGTATTTCTTTGATTGCAGATTTTATACTACACTTGTACAACCACCAGTGCTTTTGGTTTCTTTCTTTGTAAAGCAAAGTCTACTGAAATGGCCTTGCAAAGGATGATACTTATCCTTTCTCACCTTATTTCCAAATCTTTTTTGAGATTTGTATTTTCAAGCAAAAGCTCTTCATTCCTGGCTTTTGTTTCGATAAGTTGCTTCTGGAAAGACTGCAACATAGACTGGGTTATTTCTTTTATTTCACACACTTCTTAACCAACAACTTGAACAATTTAAAGTATGTCCATGTTAGGGAGGGTTCACAATTGCCTGTACAGCAAAACAGCACGGATGAGGAATAAATGACTAAGACCAAGAGCTGCATTAGACCACAAATGGAGAACTGTGACTATGCAGTCCCCAGCAAAGACTCACAACACAGTGCTGAACCTTTGCATAAAGACAGGGAACCCTGCACAGAGAGGTTAAAAGTTCAGAAGACATGACAAGAACGAGGGACAGAAATCAAACATGTTTATGTTTCTAGGTGGCTCTTGAAGGGTTACCATTTAGAGATCTGCACTGATTTAGATTTGGCAGTTCCATACCGTGAGCAGTGCTCTGTAATTAGGAGTAGCATCTAGATTTAAGAATTCTTCCCTGTTTTTTCCTTCTCTCTGTACCTGGTCTTCATCTTTTTTATACTGCCTATTGGGAAAAAAAATAATTGTCTGAGCTTACTGCAATTCAATTAACTCAAAAATCTAAGTTGGTTTAGTTAGCAGTGATGTATGATAATAATGTTTCCATAAATTACAAAGTAAATAGAATAGAAATTCTGCCGTAAGATCCACTGCTCTAATTCCTGGGAAAGCTGCTTCACATGCTAATTAAGTGCACTTATCCTCAAGAGAAACTCCAGTACAAGCAAATCCCATTTCAGTTTTCAAGATAATAATCTCAAACTATAGGAATGTGTCAGGTATCTGCTTGTTGCTTTGCACGGTGATAGAGCTGAAAACCCAGTATTCCTTTAGTTTAGTAGATCATTCGACTGAGCACAGCTAATGCAGTAATTCTGGCAAAAGAAGAAGGGAAAAAAAGAAAAAAAAAGGAAAAAAAAAGGAAGAAAAAGACTTAAAGCTCAAGTGCCTGAATATCCCAAATTTCCCAGCTGTCCTGGCCTCCTGGCTGAGGAGCTGCTTAGCCTGGACTGACAGTCATTCCTTTGATAAATCCAAACTTCTATGACCATTACAACCTTTTGCTGTTTCTTATGTTCTAGAGAGATCTGGAGCACAAAATATTTACCACTATATGGTTTAAGAACAGTAAGGGGTAAATAAATTTTGAACAGTAGTACCATAAGGCATTAGACAAGACCTACCTCAGCTCCTTTTTAATCTGACTAATTTGAGATTCATAATAATCAATTAGACAAAGGTACCTGAAGAAAGGAAAAATGGCATTTTGAATTTCAGATAATCTCAAAAAACTCATGCCTGAGAGATATTGTGACCAACCCAGAGGAACAGGCCAGCTTACACACCTGCACTGCACTTCAGAAGTGGTTGTTCCAAACAGTGGGTTTTCTTTCACACCAAACAAATATGATCACAGTTTGCCAAAACAGAAAAGTAGAGATATTAACTCTGTACTAATCTAGAACTGGCAAAATCATTCAAGAGGAGGAAAAAGCCTAAATCTGCCCAACAGCCTCCTCATCTTATGACTTACCCAGCAAGCTTAACAGAGAGGCACAGTCAAAATAAAGTGGCTTGAGCACTCTGAGATTGTGTTTTGGAGAGACACACGAGAGAGCACAGGGAACCAAATTCAGTGATTCCTCCTCTCTTACCACAAGAGCATGAGGAAAAGGCTGTGCACACACAATCCCTTTTAGAAGCTTGCCAGGTAAACATCTGTGGCCAGGCCCAGAAAGCAGGTGACATCAGCACAGTAAAGCAGTGGCTACCTGAGGCCTAAGAACTGGCAAATCTCTGAGTATAGCAGAGCTACGGAAATCCTACTGGGTTGGGATACTTTCAGAACTTACTCTAAAGTACTTTGCAGCCTCACAGCAAGCCTGCAGTCAGCAGTTGCAAAGCCCCTTGTCAAAACTGGAAGGGTTCTTTTTTTTGGGGTGGGGAGTTGGGGATCATATCTCTTGGTTTTTGGTGGTTTGTTGTTGTTGTTGTCATTTTTTTTAATTTACATTTTTAAACGTTAGAATCCCAGGATGAGATCATCCTAGCAGACACTGCAGTTCCAGAAAAGAGTGAATCATTCCCTTCCCTTTGCTGACACCTAGTGTAGGCAGTGGCTGGTAATTTTTTAATTTCTGCCATGGATTTATCTGTCTCACAATTTTACAAAAGAAAAAAAATATCACTGCACTACTATACCTTTAAAAGAATTCATATTTCAGGTTGCACTCCTAAGGCCTCTAGCTTTTTTGCTTTTCTTTTCCATATAAATATCAAGAAGCATGACTTTAAAATGTAAGATCCCAATATAAGATCACTTACTTCTGATCTAGAAGAGACTTGGGAGCTCTTTTGCAAAACTGACGAAACATTTTGTTTTGAGTGGCAACGCGGTGCTGCTCCTCCATCCCAACCTTGCTCAGCTCCTTCTGCAAACGGGCAATAATCTCTTCCTGTTCTTGCAGCTTTTCCTGCTGCTGTTGGTATTTTACCTGTGAAGAGGTAATGGGAGCATTATTAAACTGTTCTGGCCCCCAGATGACTGTTCTGTCAGGTGCACACTTGGTCCCAAGGAGGATTAATCCTTGGGTTTTAGCCTTAATGAAGAGACAGTGGAAGAAGACACACAGGTATTTTTCTAAGTTATTGCTATAAAATTCTGCATGGCTCAAAAAATCTTCGCTCTAGACAGTGTATGAACTCTATGACCCAAGACTCATACTTATTTTTATCAATGTAAATATTTTCAGATCTTTTAAAAGAAGACTAAAATTTGATTCCTCAGGCAGCACTATCCAAACTACCTGGGAAGCCTGCTGGTCTTTTTGAAGTTCTCTGACTTGGTTCTGTTGCTGGCAAGCTTTAGCGATGGTTTCATCTTCCAGCTGACGAATTTTGGCCTTAATGTTTTTCACCACATTTTCCAAATCATTAGCCCTTTGCTCTTGTCGAGATGCCCGACCTTGTTCTTGTCGTACCACATCTCTGGAAAAAAAGAAATCCTTCACTTAAATTGAACTCATTTCACTAAACACAATGCAGGAAGCACACACCTGATATCACGTGATGATATTTGATCCCACAGCAGCAAGTATGGGAAATATGCTGGTATGGGAAGAAGCAGCGGATGAAATAACGGAAGAGCTCAAAAGGAACTAGGCCAGCATTGCTGCACATTGGGCAATAATATCAGGAAAAGGATCTTGGGCCTCTGATAAGACAAGATCTCCACTGGGCAGGAGATGCACACTCATAATACTTTCACTTTGCATTAGCAGGCAAGTTCCTTCCACTGTGTCTTACCTAAGGCATCGATTTGTCTCCATAAGTCCCTGCATCAACTTCTGCTGTCGCTCAATGTCTTCCACCAGCGTTTTTAATGCAAGTCTTATTTCTAGAGAAGACTGACTGTCTAGGACAATCATATCTGGAGATACAAAACATGAACAAAGTCAAAATGAGAGGCTTTTAACAGCTGGGCAAGGTTGCATGTCTGCTGCCATTTGGAAGTGACAGCTTTAGAGATGCCTTACGAACTTAGGCTTACTACCTCCAAATACAAAAAGTAGTTAAATTAGCATTTCCTTACCTGTCTTATTTCTGCAGCACTGGGGGGCACCAAGACTCACCGGTTTCAACCCATGACGCATTAATAGCTTGTTTAAGTTTTCCCACTCTGCCTTCTCCTGCTGCAGCTGGGAGAAGGGGAAGAAGAGGCAGAAACCTGAGTTCTGCAGATCAGCTGTGCAGGCTGTGGGGGGTACCAAATGCCCCCAAAATTAAACCAAACCAGTCCCAACCCCCCAAGAACACCCAGCCACTACAGAAGGGCTTGAGAGACGCTCCAATATGATCTGCAAAATACACTCGGGAAAAGCGTACTTAACATACATCATGCTCAGTTTTCCCGATCTCAGTCAGAAGGAAAAACACGTGCAATGAGCGAAATTCGCCCTTCTAAGAAGCCCAGACCACCGGCCCTCGGCTCCCTCCAACGCCCCCGGGGCGCAGCGGCCCCGCCGCGAGCGGAGCCCTCAGTAACGCGGTGGCGGCTCCGGGGGTTACGGGCTGTTGGGTCGCCCTTTGTCCTGCTCCAACCACCCAGCAGCGACACCCGGTGCCGCCACGGTACCTCTGTCATGGCGAGGGCCGCCGGCCGGGCCGCAGGGCAGGAGAGGGGCCGGTTCCCCGGGCGCGGAGCGGCTCCGGCGGGAGGGGGGCTGAGGGAGCGGGCGGGCGCGCGGGCGCGGGGCGGTGCCGGGCGGGAGCCGCCATTTTGCGGCGCGGGAGCCGAGGGGAGGAGACCCGGCGGAGGTAGGAGCGGGGCCGCCGCCCTCAGGGGCGCGGGGTGAGCCGCCTCGGGGGCGGCGGGAACGGCATTGCAGGGACGTGGGGTTTTCTTCACACACACACACACAAAAAGCCCGCTGCCGGCGGTAACGGTGGGTGGGGGGAGACTTGCCACCCTGGAGCTCATGCGCTTCCCGGTACACCGCGCCGCGGTGAGCGCTGCCGGGATTAGGTGGGCGGGGAGCGGTAATCCCAGCCTGGTTTTGAAAGCAAGCCCTCATGTGTAAAGGAGTAAATCTCGTTTTGGGCCGCTGCCTCGGTTAGCAGAAAACGCAGTGGAACGAGGCGGTCGGTGCAGGACAGATGTGCTTCCCTGGGTTGGAGCCCGCGGGTGGCTGTTGGAAGCGAGCAGCTCCCTCCAGGCTTTCCCTTGGCACTCGGGTGGTACCGGCAGGCTTTCAGGAAACACACAGGTGCCCTAGAGTCCGGGTTCAGCTTCGTTTTAAAATAGAAGTCTATTACCTCATTACTATGATTTGCTAAAAAGAAAAAAAAAAAAAAAGAGGAAAATAAAAGGAATTTGTGTGTTCTGGGATGCTTCCTAACCCTTTCAGCACTGATCCTAAATAATCACCAAGATCCACGCGGGAATATTACGTCCTGCCGGGGATGGTGAAGGGTGGCCTGGGGATACCCTCCAGCTGCCACCTCTCCTGGCATCTCCTTTGTGCCAGAGGCCGCTCCTTGTGCTGATCCAGTGCCAGGGCCAAGCGCGGGTCTATCCCGAGCCGCCGCTCCCTTGAGGAGAGGGAAATATACCCCGCCTGACTCCCACCGTGTGCCGGGGAACGCCAACCTTCACAGCCACCAATAACTTCAGGAACAGCCAAAAGTCTCCTCGGCAGTTATTAGCACGTGTTACTATTTGTTTACATTTAAGCTATGCTTATTGATATGCACAGGCGAGGCAGGCAGCCCTTAGCAAATTAATTAATGGAAATAATACGTTAAAAATCAGTCAGTGGTTGTAAAACACCATAATGGTCTATTGCTCTTAAGTAAGAAACGAGTTATTTGTGGTTCACATGGATTTTGTGAGTGAATCACCAGGTCAGATTTGCTAATGTGGTTGCTGAAAACTGCTACAATGGTTTAGGAAAGCCAGTAGGTGAAATTGTTGGCTGTGCAATTTCGCAGTCCCGAGGTCATTACAGTCTGGGACTGAGATGGGCAGCTCTGATCGGGTTCCTGCTTTTAGTTTCTAAACTTTCAGTCACAAGCTGGGCAGCCCATTTTTCCATCAAATAACCGACAAAGTTATGATGAGCTAATAAAGTTACAATAAACTGCACTTACTAAATTGAAAAATATTATATTTTTTCCAAAACACAATACAATTCCAAAATTTTTCCTTTCTGTTTAAGAGGAGAGATGGGTTTATTTTAAATGTTTTTGTTTCATCATATATACTACAGCTAGCACTGCATGCTAGTTAATAACGCTTTAAAAAATGTCCTTTATCTTAACTGGAGAAAACCAGGAAAACTTAGACCTCAGCACTTCTCTGCTGCTATTCTGCTTTTCTATTTTTTCTTGCTGCTAATTGGATTAAAAGCTGTTTGGGTTACTATGGCGTCCGGGGAGGAGATTACTGTCTGTGAAGATGAAGTAAGGTAAAAAATCAGGACCGTGGTATGAGCAGATTTGGAAAGATATCCACAGTTCCAGTGTTCAGTTATGATTGTATCTAAACTTTGAAAATTGCTTAAATAAAAGGATATCTTGCCAGATCTCTTCCCCTGTGGCTGTCTGTGTGTGCATTTCTGCATGATGTAGGTAGTGTTTATGAGATTACAGACAAATCTGTAAAAACAGCTAAACTGGCCATCCTGACTATTTTTCGAGTCTAAAAGGCTGAAACACTTTCTTTGAGACCAATCAAATACTGTATTTTAATGCCTACCAGGAAATAGCAGAACTGTCCAGGAGCATCTGAATGCTAAGTGTATTTTGTAACCTACTGTCACCTGAAATTGTAGTTTTAAAGGCTTTTTGAGCTTAGATAGGTATCTGTGTCTTTGTACTGTGTTTGTCAAAGTGAGTCTGTTTAACTGTCAATTTATATTTTGTGATATTTTGTCATATCTGAATATTTGAAAAAAAAAAGAAAATATAAGCAGTTCTGCAAGGTTACTCTTTCAAGTCTCGTTTTTCATTTGCAAAAAAAAAAACTTGCCCTGAACCAGTAAAGCTTTGAACTGCAGACATCAGGAATTGAACTTTCAACGACAATTAATTTACTTTGTTGGTTTTTCCTTAGGTCTCGGTACAGCCACTTAGAGAAGATGACAGATTTGGTGGCTGTTTGGGAAGTAGCTTTAAGTGATGGTGTTCATAAGATTGAATTTGAACATGGGACCACTTCAGGAAAACGTGTTGTCTATGTTGATGGAAAGGTGAAATTGCTATGTGCTCAAAATTCACTGTGATACAGATTATATAAGTGCACTTCCATGCAACACGCATCAGAGCAAACAAAAGACTAATAAATGCAAGTGAGGTACATTCAGTTGATTAACTTTACCTGATTTACTGAACTGCATCATTCTTTTTTTCAGTTCCAGTTAAGGTGTGAGTATTCATGAAGTGCTTTGCTGTCTCTGGGCAGAGGCACTCTGTGCATACAAAACACCGTGTATGCATTCATTCCCAAATAACAGTTCAGTACTGAGCTGTCTCCTGAGTTCCAGTTCGGTATTTTTAACATTAAAACATACACTCAGATTTCTCAATTAATACTCACTGTCTTTGTTTTATTCTACAGGAAGAAATAAGAAAAGACTGGATGTTTAAATTAGTGGGTAAAGAAACATTCACTGTTGGAGCTACTAAAACAAAAGCTGCTATTAACATAGATGCAGTCAGTGGCTTTGCATATGAATATACTTTGGAGATCAATGGAAAGAGTCTGAAGAAATATATGGAAAACAGGTTAAAAACAACCAATACTTGGATATTGAACTTGGATGGTACGGACTATAGAATTGTTCTAGGTAAGTAAACACTGAATGACTCCATAGAATCATAGAATCATAGATGTTGCTGCCTTTGAAAATACTTGTGTGCATTTAATAACTGGTAATTAAGAGAAAGTGCAGTTCAGTGGGTAGCACTGGTGCAGTATAAAATCTTGGGTGGTTTGGAAGTTTGGAATGAGATGCCAAAGACAATCTGAAAAACAATGGTCTTGTTACACACATGTGAACCTACAGCAGTGTGGTCTAGATTTAAAAATAAAAAGGAAAAAAGAGGTTGGGAGGCATTACGGCTGCTGCATCCATAGAGCTGCTCTAGCAAGACAGTTCTGCAGGTGAAGCCTCTTATAGAAGTGTTATCTGTGTTGTGATCAAACCCGATGTTTGTTCAGCAGGTACCCAGGCTTTCCCTCCAACAATCATCAGCCAAAGTCTCTACTGAGGAAGTGTGACAGTTTCTACTTTTTTGATAGATTAATGAGCATCCTTTTTTCTGCATCACTTCTTAGTTACAAATTTAATCTAAAAACTTCGGATTATAGTCTTTCACTATTTTAATAAGCAGGCAACACATCTGTTCTGCCCCCCCTCCTTAGACACATTACAAGCAGCCAGGAGGCAGGGACCCCCTGAGGAATTTGTCCATGGCATCTAGTGGGAAAACTTCCACTTAGGTATTGCTGTATGGTTAGATCTGGAAACAAGGGATCTTGGGCTATGATTTTTATAAAGCCTCAGGACATAATGAACTGCCCTAAGATGAAGGGAGGCAGTGAAGAAAAGCAATTTTTATGCCAGAAACAGATAAATCTCCTCACAGGATTTTAATCTCTCTATGCTTACTGGAAAGGCAAGCAGGGATCAGCTCTCTGCTGATGACCTGTGGATGACAGTGTCAGTAATGTGAATTCTAGAGCAAAATAATTTAAGAAGGATGTGCTGGAAGAAATAAAAGAATATTCTGTTTCAAATGGAAAAAATCTAAGATTGATATTTACAGTGGTACTTGGGCTTTTGAGAGATTTTGAAGAATACAAACAGTTTGATGGATGTTAAATAATGCTGCTTTTGAATTAAACCAACCTGGAAAAAATATTAGAGCTTCACTGAATAAATGGCACTCAGATAATTAGCAGAAATTATTTCACTTTTCTGTCTTCAAGTTTTTCAGTTTAAGACTGTCAGAATATTTCTGGCAATAATCTGAACAACCCAGAGTCAATAGCCAGGGCTAGGGAGAGGTAAAAATGTATGTTCAAAGCAAAAGTTGTTTGCTCATTGTTGAGAGCCTCCCCATCCTGCTGTGAGAGCAAACCCTGTAGCTCAGGGACTATGGCTAATTAGGAACTTCTTTTGGGAATTGAAAATAAAATTCAACGGATTTTTAAAATTCCTAGATCCTTGTCTATGGCGGGGGAAATACCTCGTTCTTTCTACTTTCTGTTTTCCTTTTCTTTCACAGAAAAGGACACTATGGATGTGTGGTGCAATGGTGAAAAAATGGAAACAGCGGTACGTGATCCCTTCCAAAGCCTCTTCCCAGCCTATGGCTACATACCCAAAGCTTAGCAAAATAAGCCTCTGCCTTTCTGTCACATCTGCATTAGTTTTTAGAGCAGGCTGGCAGGTAGAAGGCTTAATCTGTTTGATGTCTTTTTGTATTATGATAGCTGTCAATATGTATACGAGGTAGGCTTCCCCCTCCTTGAAGGATGTGTCAAAGTGGCTGCCACAAAAAAGCCCCTGGATGAGCACAAATTGTAAAATCAACAGTTGTGCTATACCTGAGAGCAGGATGAAGATTCACCAAGTCATGGAACAGCCTGGGTTGGAGGGAACCTTAAAGATCATCTCATTATAACCCCCCTCCCGTCACAGGGACACTTTCCACTAGATCAGTTTGGTCAGAGCTCTGTTTCTATAGAAATCAGTGGAAGAAACCCCCTTTCCAGTAAATCAGATTTTCTGCTCCTGGTGGCTCTCAGCCTTTTCTATAATGTAATAAATGCTCTTAGAAGTTGTTCTTGCAAGCTGCATGTGCAGGTTTAGTTGTCAAACTGTGCTTCCATTAGAGCAGCACACGGATTGTTCTGCTCTCCCAAAGATGACATAGCTGTGCCTGGCAAAATCTGCAATAGGAAATTACGTAACTGCAGCAGGAGCCAAAAACACACAATTCAAAATACACAACTGGTACTCAATTCAGGGACCTCTTTCGGCATCCTGCTGTAGAAGACATCCTAAATACTTCACCTTTTACTGCCACTTCAGCATAAGTTTGTGTGGCACTTACTAGCTGTACAGCACAAATGGGCAGGAAGATGCTTTTTCTATTTTTATTTACTAACATGGATCAGTAATATGAACTCACAAACTCCAACTTTACCATTTTGATTGTCATCTGATGCCCACAAATCTTTAACTGGACATGTTGACAAGGCCCTGCCTGACATTCTGGAGCTTTGTTCAGTTTTTGGGCTGCATTTGTTGCAGGTACCTATGGCTGCTGTAATGTGGAAACTACAAGTGATCTTGACACTGATGCACTCAAGCTTTTTCATTTGCTAAAATATCACGTGTCTCTTTTTATTCTTGTCTCCTCCCTTCCAGGGTGAATTTGTCGAAGATGGGACTGAAACTCACTTCACTGTTGCTGATCACAGCTGTTGCATTAAGGCTGTCAGTAGCGGGAAACGAAAGGAGGGAATTATTCATACCCTTATTGTGAACAACAGAGAAATCCCAGAGGTGGTGGAGTAGCCTCTAGTTAACTGATTATTGTAGGACTAAGATCAAGAATTTTCAATTACTGTGGTAATTATTTTAATATGTACTACTTGGTACGTCTAGTTTGTGCTGGGTTTATTTTCTAGTTTCTGTATATGAAATTATTCTTTTTGAGGACCAGATGAAAATAATTATATGCAACCTCTTACATTAGCAGTTTTTAAAAAACTATATATATAGAATGTATATTATATCACTAAGTGTGGAGAACACTGGTGAACTTCAGTAGAAATTATACACCAGGAAAAAATCTCGCTATAATAAAATGGAAGATAAATATTCAGTTACAATGAATCCTTATAAACTGCAGGTGTATGTGGAGGGAGGAGAAAGCATGTGCTGGGTATTGGAATAAACTGTTAAAGCTTTCTCAATTATTATTTTTTTCTATTAAACAGAGTACAAACCTTTTTAGGTGCAGTTAAGAGTTACAGAGTTAATAAAAAGGTTATTAATAAACACATTGTTACCAATACTTGTGTAACAGTATTAAAGTAACACTCAGTTATGAAAACTGATTTTTTTTATTCCAAGTAGGAGAAAGATGTTACATTGTGCCAAAAAATCCTTTAGGTTTTCTGAAAACTTAGAAATTGTTAAAATTGTTGCAGTAGTTCAAAAACTCTGTACTGAGTTTTTTCAAAAAAGAAAGAAGAATTCCTGCCATGAAATTGCTTTAAAAAATGAAATCTCTTGAACTAAACTGAAATAAGAACTTATCCTTGTTCAGCGCTGTCTAACCTTAAATCTACAGCTCTGTGTTTTCATGGCAGTAATGTGTGAATTGAGAAACATGAGGAAAAAAGGGAACAGAAGTAGAAAAGAATTTATTGCTTAAATGGAATAGTTAAAATAGGAATAGACTCTTAAGAGCAACCTTGGGATTTCTTGAGACCAAAATTCACATGTATTAGAGGCTCACACACTACAAAACTACCTTTTCAAAAATAGGTATAACTAATCTTTAAAATAAGACTATAAAAAACACCCACTACACAAATATGAATATATTAATTTAAAAGTTTCTTTTGTAATGGTTTGAAAAAATTTCCACTTGCAACCTCACATAAAAGTTCAGAATTAGACTTTTATAACTTAATTTCTTCTGGACTTGTGAGTGGTTCCTAGCACTATGACTACTAGCTTAGGAGTTGCAGGTGCAATACAAGTACCCTGGGAATTCATTAACAAATTATTTTGAAAAGTTGTATTAAATGCTACTTTCATCTGTGTTTTAGAGATCAGATGCTCTCCATCAGCACAGTGCTTTGCCTGTGGGTGAAATGCTTTTCATATGACAACACTGTTGGTTTTGAATGGTTTTATGTGAGCCCTTCTCCTCCCCAGGTAATGACAGTTTTGACTACAGGTGACTTCAGGTGAGAGGCTGACCTGATACTGACAGGTGAGGTACCAAAGAGGAGCGTTTATTTCTGTATTACTGCACTGCTTTAAGCTGTTTAGGTGTTTTAGGCCCAGAACTGGTGGGACAGTTTGGACAAATCTGGTGGTAGCTTTTTATTTGGGGCAACACATCTGTTTTAAACACTGTTAACATCAGGCATAGTTTTAGGCTTCAGTAGAGAAAGCTTCCAAGTACCCGAGTGCTGGACTGAATCCCCTTTGACAGTGGAATTCCTATAATGGCTCTTGGGCTTTTCCATGTGCTGGCTTCAGGTTGCTGCAGAAGCAATGTGGGCATACCTGGCTACAAGGCTGACAGTGTAATCTTTAAAAGATATTGATAAAGGTAGATTAATTGAAGATCAATTTCAAGCTGTAGCTTGAACCAGTTCTTTACTATTTTGTAGCCTTTCAAAGAGATTTGAAATTGTCCAAACATTGCTGAGAAATCTGAAGCTCAAATACAGTCCAAATCACATTCTTAAGACTATATAAAAAAATACAAGTGAACTGATAGTGACATTCATACTTTTAATTTTGAATACATGCATCTACAATAAAACCTGCAACAGCGACTACTGTTGGATATCGTGCAGTATTGTCTCATGTTTGTCATAACTACGTGTATTTAACAGCTTGTCTCTAACTGCGAAACAGCTTTTATCTGCTACATTCACCTATTTAAGTCAAAAGAAAACTTAGGAATCAAAGGCACAACCAAGACTTTTTGTTTCACTGACATATGCAATATCTCAGATTAAGAGAATGCAATACAAAAATGACAGCCTATGCAAACATCACGTGTATAGTCCCCTGCTCAGAACACGGTAAGGTAAAAAGTAAATGACCATCTAAATGTTAAACTGTATTTTGGGATGCTCTCCCTTCTGTTTCCACTCACAGACAATTTTGTCCTAATCTCCTTAAGGTATTGCCTTACTCTTTTGTTCATGGATATTTCAGAGTATTTTGCATGAGGCACTTTGACCACAGCACATTACTAAGTAGAGCATCCTCTTAAATCTAAGCACTAGACTTTGTTCTGAGGTGATCTTCACAACAGCAACAGTTTTGAGTAATTCTAATTCAGGATGCTGCTGTTTCCAGCTGCATAATGCTTAGTCACCGGGCAACAAGTCAGCAAATATTGTGGAAGGGCCCCAACACTGTTGTAAATGACAAAGGTGTCAGGATTAGCCATATCATTTACCAAACTGTCATATATCCTAAAGGCATCCCCCTCCACAGCCAGAGGCATAATAATATTAGACTGGCCTTTAGTGTATAAGCCTGTTAATACTTCAGCCTCAAACACATACATTTTAGAGTCCATTTCCCCCATAGCGTTATCCTCCATAAGGTTTCTTGGGTTCCTTTTAAAGTAGATGCCAGGTCCATAATTTTGTTCTGGAAAAAGAAAGAAAAATTTTCAGAAGAAGAAGACAAAGTGTTCAACAACTGGTTCTTTTGGGGTGGTAGTTCCAAGAGGCTGCTGCTTGATTCAGGATTACACAGGATGTTACTGCTCAATATGTGCCATCTTTTTGGAAGGATGTTTGATTAACTGCTACTTCAGCGATAACTGTTCAGATGTAACTGTTTAATACAGTGGTTGAAACATCAAGGTCTAAAGTATTTATATAAATGTATGACTGCCACTTCAATTATCACAGATCTGATAAGCACCAAAAGCAGCAAGATTTTAATAATGCAACCGACCAAAAAAAGCTTTGATATTTATAACAAGAGTGTCACATAAAAGTGCTGTTACAGTTTCATGTGGAAAAGTGCAAGGATATTAGACCATCATCCTATTTACTGCTCCTCAAGTGTGGAAATGTGCCATGTACATTGCATAGACGAAGAAAGTGGAAATCTCCACTTTTGAACGGTTTATTGCCTGAAATCCCAATTCTGCAATCGACAAGCAAAATGTAACACCCTTCACCTATTGTAGGATGAAGCACTAAAAGCTTATTCTTTCCCTTTCTGAAAACATCTGTCTACTACAATATTTCGTAGAGCCCACAATTTCTTCCGAGCGTGCTCCCATCCGAATGGCAGCTGAGCAGTCAGACTGTGTGCTGTCTCTGACCACACCTGGTCTGAGCACGGGGCTGGGCTAGACAGCCTTCCCAAGTACCTTCAGCCTCAGTATTCTGTGATGACTTTGAACATATTTTAAGCACCAAGCTGCTGAGTGCATGTTTGCAGCAGGTAAATAAGGATCTTGACTTTCTTTAAAGAGTGATGCAAAAAAATAAAACTTGGAATGGAATTATGTGTATAGTAACAATTCTGTCAGTAGTGTTTGGGCTAGGCTTGATTGAATCCAGGCTTATTGTCCCAGAGCCTTACTGGCTTTAGAGTATCAGGGAGGGAAACTTTACTCTAGATAATAAAGTAAGCTCATACCAATCTAAACGCACATGAGAAACAATTATTGTTTAGGAATGACATTTTTTTCTGATTTTAACCCAAATTTAGTAGTCAGTCACTGTTCATTTTGATTAAAGATACCAAAGCAAGTTCTTACCTTTTGGTGGAGAATACATCCTGTGAAATCCAGTCTGGCAAACTGAACTACAGAACTCAGCAGGAACCTGCTGGTACAACTTGTGGGTTATTTTGGAGATATCTTGTCTTTCTTCTATTCTTTTTTTCATTTGTTGGAATGCATCAGATAGAAGAGGATTATGTATCTTTTCAATCTGTAACATAAATAAATAACACTGTAGTATAAGCAGAGACCAATATCCATGCTATGTTCTTGAATGCAAGAACCTTTAATTAATGCATTTACATGCATTGACCGCATAGCAGATCAAGTATCTGAAGTGTGCAACTGATCCAAGGAAAAAAAAACATACCACTATCCCATGCCTCTCACTGAAATCAGTAGGAATATTTCCTCTTGTACTGATTTCCAGTACTTGAGTTGTGCTGAACAGATTGAGTATCTCATACGTGAGAATAAGCTGTGTGGCTGTCACAGCCTAGTCTTGTGAAGAACTGCAAGTGTGCAGCAAGGCTTGGAGAACCTCAGCTCCCACTGATCAAAACTTTACAGCTGTCAGGGAAAAAGGGGGCACAGAGAAGAGGGTCTGTCACTTGTGTCCACAGTGCCCAGCTGTGTGCAGTGTAAATAATCACACAGAACCTCGGGCAAATTGGCTCCACCAGTGGGCAGCCACAACTCCATGGCAAGGGGCAGTGCCAGGGGCCTGCAAGGCTCTTCTCCAGAGCCCTCTCATGCCAGACCACTGAGCTAGAAACAAGCAGGGGCTGTAGTACTTCTGCTCTCTTAACTCATTTAACTGAGCTACAACTGGTCTCCAGTGCAGCATTGTTGTAAACTCTGATGTAACTTTTGTGTTGAGACTCAGCAAAGTTTTTAGTTCTGCAGATCAAGAAGCATTTGGTGGGTATTTACTCTCATTTCAATGTTAATACCTTTCTCTTAGGAAAAGCAGTTCAGCCCATGGCAGTGGGGTTTCCATTTACTCAGTTAGTACCCAGGCACACAAATTCCTGTTTAGAAACTTCTGTATTTCTCTGCCTTGCACAGCCTCATCCACCTTCTGTTCAGTAAAACACTGACACCCAAGCAAGGTCCCAGTTTCAACACATAATCAGATCAGAGCTCTGGCAAATTCAATTGCTAATTGTTGGTGTCAAGCTCACAAAAAGAAAACAGGGACACTGCATTAGTGTCCTGGAATATTGAACTCCATCTACCATCCATACAATCTCATATTTGTCTAGTCCTATAGAGGAGCATTTGAAGCATGAAATATCAGGAAGAATATACAGTACAATTAAAAAGACTACTCAGAATTTCATCACTTTTTGAGTGATTATTTGCATTATGTTTGAAATAGTTTTTATTAGGAGTAAAGACTGCTTCTATTTTAAGGCTTAGCCTGATTTGATCTTAATTTTTAAAAGCAATATATTGAAATAGTTCATCAGAGTCTTTTAGGCATACATTAAACATGTTAGTTCAAAAGTATGAGCTGAGAATCAGTTTTGCCCTCTTTACCTTGAGAACACGAAGTCCAGCTTTTTCAAACTGTTTCTGTCTGTCTTTAAACTCCTGGAGGTGTGACTCTACTGGTAAAATCTTGATGGATTTAGTGGTATTTGCCTCGTGAAGGTCTTCTTCTGAAAGTTGACCTGCTTCTGGTTGGCCTGGATATCAAAAAGGGAGTAAAATTTTCATGTATCATAATGTCTGAAGCAAAAGGAAGGAGGAGAGATCCAGTACTTGGTAGTTAAGAACAAAGGATGTTAAGTATTCTCTGAAGTAATGTCAGAGGCTAACACTGAGAGAGATACATATATATATATATATAAATGTATTCTATTTTTCTACATTTATTATAAAGAAACCAGAGAAAGAGGGAACCAAAAAAGAGCAATTTATATTTTCCATTACCTTTCTCCACAGCCCAACCTTCATATAAAGGTATCTATATTGAATGGCTATACAAACATGAATTAAAATCAGCCACTCAGTAGCTTTCTGTAATGCCACTAGTTGTATCAGCTGTTCGTGAAAGCCAAGGACTCTGCAGAACAAGTCCACTGCTGAGTCCTGCAGCAGTGGTCCAGCTGTAGCCAGCTGGTTGTACATCACAGCCAGCCTCTGTATAAACTGTGCCCTACTGGGGGTACTGCCAGGTGAGCGACCACAGCTAAGCAATGGTCCCCAGGGGCTCGTGCGTTAAAAGCACAGGAATATCAGTAATTAAAGCAATACTCTGTATATGTATGTGAACTGAATGCACGTCTGCCCACTCTCAGCAGTACTAGGATATACATTGCTTCATAATTGACCTTATTTAAGCACTTATTTACTTAATTAGTCACTGTGTACGTACACATTGAGTGGAGCAGTTTCTTTTGTTCAGCCATAGTCTTCTCTTGCATACGAAGGAGCAAATTCTCAGTTGTGAGCACTGCATCAATCACAGCATCAGGAGGGCCTTTAAATTCCAGTGTTGCTTTTCCACCTCTCACTACTTCTGACATATGTACATTAGAAGGCATATCTTGAATGAGTTCTGCAAACTCCTTTTTACCGAGGCAAAAAATATAGTTGTTTTTAATAACAGCACGGTGACCTTCCTGAATTTGTACCACACTCCGCAGCCACGATTCTGCTGCTTCCACTGCTGTGTGTGTTCTCCCTGTAATTGCAATCACTTGTTCTTCATTTGCAGTGTCTTTTATGCTTTGGATGCCTGGCTCTGCACCTGGAAGAAAGGCAAGGGCATTGAAAGAGTGTAGAGCTTTCAAGTGCTGACACAAATTCCTACTTGTAATCCAAGCAGGAAGAAAGTAGTGTGCAAGAAACACTACTCTTCTGTATGCTCAAAACAGAGATTAGACACCAGGAGGTAAGCGTTTCAGGAACTGCACACACACACACATATGCAGAATTTATTTGCCTTTCACTAAATGACTTCCAACAAGTTAGGCACTGACAATGATTTTTGTTTTAAAATCTTAAAAGGGACTGCCCAGTTCCATTCCTATTAATGTAAAAATACACAACGCTCATGCACTTTTGCCTCCCCCTTTCTCCAAGACACATATGCAAATATTAAGTTCTTTTTAAAGGAAGGTGATTTTGGATTCTCAAATCTAGAGTGTTCATTTACTTGAAATACCCCTTCTGTTCATTACTTACTCAGTGGATCACTTCTGTTCTCCAGTTTGTGTTTTGCTGAATAGAATTTTCTCTGGAAAACCTTGAAAGATAAAAGTTTAGGAGCAGTTTGCAATCTCTGTTGTCAAAAATGTAATTCATCTCTTCAAAACTCTGTCAGATAAGCAGTTTACAGCTGTAGTTACACCCTGCACATACCTGCAGCCCCCAGATTCTGAAATTGTTAATGGCTGGCATAGCACCTTTACCAACTCCTTGTGGTTGTGGCATATCTGGAATTTATTCAACCACATAAGAAAAGGTGTTTATTACCTGCAGTTTAATGCTGACAAATCCTTACTCAGTTTCAAAATCCAGACTATTCCCCTGCCTTTAACCCAAACTCCTCTTTGTGATCCCACATGGAAAACCTCTAAGAGGCTGCTAGGCAATGGATTAGCAAACTGCATTTCCTTTTTCATTCAGCAAGAAGAGGTTTTGCTGTGCCCTGATTATCAAGGAACTAAGTGATGAGCACACAGCTGTCAGACAGCTTCTGTTAGAGTTTATGGGACTGTTACAGAACATGAATCCACCCTGAGAATCGCAGAATGGTTTGGGTTGGAAGGGACTTTAAAAAATCATCTAGTTCCAACTCCCCTCCACCAAGTTCTTGCACACGTTGAAAGAATGGGTGGTTGAAGTTGAATAGGAACAAAAGCAAACTCTCTACTCTTATAATAGATGGCTATCTGACCTCAGACAAATATCCAAAAGAGGGAAAATGGCACACTGTCTGCTTGAAACCCTTCTATTAAGTCATATAATCTGTTGATTGCCCTAGGAACTTCATACCAAAAAAAATCGTTAAAGAAATTTCCTGAGAAGGAATAAGTTTATTCCCTACTGAGTGAAGAGTGGAATCTTATAAATTCATTGACAGTCATGAGAATTTCAAAGCTCTCTCCCCTTTTATCAGACCACAGGGTGAACACTTCCAGTTTAGTGAAGAGAAAATAAAGATTTGCAAAGATTAATTATACCTAATAATGAAACAAATAGTTTCATAAAGGGACCTGCTGCTCACCAATGCTGTTAAGTAGTACAGAATACAGACTACCTTCATTTTTAGTCATCTATGGGAATATTTTTACAGTTCTGTGTTTTCCTTATGGGTAGTTAACAACAAATATCTTACCTGATAGGCATTATGGTCATCTGGGCAAACGACAAACTGCACATCTCTCTTCTTCTCAGGGTGTGCCCTGGCAAAATTTAAAACCTCTTCAATCATGGTCTCTGCCACTATATCAACAGGCAGCTTTAACGACCACTTTACTGGAAAAGAAACTGAGGAACATTGCTGGTCCTGACTCAGGCATCTTTTCACTGCATGCTTTAATTCCTGCAGGGAAAACAAGTATTTCAGTCCTCACATCACCCAACATGAAAATCCATTAAAATCCAACATAACTGATCATCACCTCATACTGTAACACCAGGTGTTCGTGTTCTCTCAATAGCACGTGCAGTACAAACTCACAAGGCAGATCATACCCTTCTGTTACTATGAGTTCCTTATAATGTGTCGAAAAACTAAAATGATTCCTCAGTTCCTTCTGAAGACCTGGACCAGCTTTTTGCAGCAGTCTTGAAAATGGGCTGGGAGGATTCCCACTCTTAAACACGCAGTTAACAACAGCTCTAGTCTGCAAGGCAAGAGTGCAAGTCTCAGTGTACTTCAAGTTTACTACTTGCAAGCTTTGATGTTATAGGGAGCATTCTTTCTAGCCACAATTCCTGTAAAAAAGCCTGACTGCAGCACATCAGCTGCTTGAAAAGTTTTCCTACTACTTATTACTACGGGCAGCACTGGAACACATTAAAGTATCCACCTTGAAGTAGCAGTAAATGCAGATATTTTCAGAAACAAGCAGTGTGCACAAGAGCTGTTCCAGTCATCAGAGTATATTCAACTCAGTTTTACTGCCACTATCGAAGTGACCCACATGTGCCTCATCCAATCCAATCCTGCTGCCAGTTATCAAGCAGGAGAGAACTATGGCTATGCCCTATTTAAAGGTAAGGTGAACATCATCTGTAGAAGCTATTTTCAGCTGTTTCAGTGGTTTTTTAGATATCTGCAGTAATGACATCTATGAGAACATAAATTATAGGGAAAAAAAAGCAAAGCAGAAAATAAGAGTAGAATTCTAGGGAATGCGTGATAAAATGTGAATTTCCATGATGTTATAAAAAGGAAATAAATCTAACAAAGAGATATATTATTACCAATCTCTAGCTGCTTCATATTATATCATAACAGCATGTATACAAAAAAGAAATAAAAACTTTCTGAAGTTTAATACCTGTTTAGAAAAAACCAAACAAACCATAGTTCCTTGCCACTATAATTTATTTACCACATCAAACATTCTCAGCAGGTTGAGAAAAAAACTATTTAGTGGACCGATACAAAATGTGTTCTGAACTCTTGGACTCCAAATCCAGTAAAGACTTGGAGGCAATACCATGTTCAATAAATTTCAGGACGGACTTACCTTCTGCTCATCAAGGTATCCTCTTGTGATGCGCAAGTGAATGTCTTCATATTTGATGGAAGTTAAAGACTGGCTTGGTGAAGACAACACAGTTCCCTGAAGTGAACTGGTATCATCCAGAAACTTTTCACAGGCCTTCTTCATTTCTGCAACTGTAGCCTCATCAATGTTCACCAGGCGGATTTCCCTGAGAAAGCTTGGTGGACGTACCTCAACAAACTGCCTTACAGCCATTACAATCACCTGAACACACAACTCGAGTGGGAAGCCAAGGACACCTGAGCTCACTGCTGGGATAGCCACAGACTCTATGGTACTTCGTGGAGCACTAACACAGTACAGAACATTCATAATAGCCTTCTCAAGTAGGCAACAACATTTTTCCTTTTCAGAAGCATCCCACCTTGGGCCAACTGCATGAATTATCACCTTACAAGGAAGCTTCCCTCCACCTGTTACTGCTATGTCACCAACTCGGAGTCTGCCATGCTTCTGAACATAAATGTCGCTTTCCTCTTGTATTTCTGACCCTCCAGCTGCCACAAGGGCGAGAGCAAGACTTCCTTTATGCTGTAGGCATTCATTGGCTGCATTCACCAAAGCATCGACCTTGTGTCTTGTGAGATCACCCTTACAAACACAAATGTCAATTCCCTTCAGTTCTTTCCTGTATACTTCAAGAGTGCTTTTGAAGGTCAACATACAAGCAAACTTTTGGGAAATGAGATTACTTAGACAATTGTCTCTTCTCTTAAAAGCTTCATAGGCATCTTTATTGATGGGCATCATCAAGCTGACCTCATCCATTACCATGCTTGACCCTAGGATACAGAATATAAAGTGAAATAGAAGATACTACTGTCAAAACATTGCTTTTTATAAAGAAGTGTAGTTTATAGCTCTCAGTTTTATCCTACTGTCATTACTAAGCAATATTTTTTACACAGTGTGATCTCCCTCCCCTTTTCAGAGGTGTAGAGAGCCCGACCGATCAGAGAGTCACTAAAAGATGACAAGAACAGCATCACTGAGCCTGTGGTGACTTGAGGGTTTGAGTTTGCTTTTTTTTTTTTTTACGTGAGAAGGAAGTTTGGTTAAGATGTGTCTCCTCCTGGCACTTGTATTCTCTCTCCTTCCTACTGTTTATTCTCCCCACCATTAGGCTGACACAGCCATTGTTGGGGACATAGCATTCCATGAATCAGTGACATAATCTGAACCTAAAAAATATTAAGCACGCTAGAAAACTTAATTTTATTTAGAGCCCCAGCCTCAAAAGACTGATGCAGCAGCACAACTGAATGGGCTGAGAATAAATGGTGAGAAGGAGGATAAAGAAGCAGACAGGGCTTTGTTACCTGGCTGCAGTGTCACTGTGATGCTGGGCTGCATTTGACACTAAAACTTCAGCTGAGAAAGCAAAATGAAGCCACGCCATCATCAGGGCTTCAAAATGCTTGCAAAAGAAGAAAAAAATCACTTCTTCCCCTCCAAGATTGTTTTGCTGAGCAGGCTGAAGATTGGCTCCGCCCTCTCCAGGGCATTCTTAGCGTTTTGTTGCTGATTTCCAGGAAGGGCCGAGGATAAGCACCCCAGGCATTTGCAGTGACTCAGCCACACCAGTAGAGGAATAATTGCCGATAGGTTCATTTAACTGCGCCACAGAGACCCTGTGAGAGCTTTAATTCTGTGAGTCTTGTTTGGTCTACAGTTAAAGGCCTAGAGCAAGTTGTTTCTTTCTATGGAACTGTGTTCAGAAAGGCTTTTGAAACTACTTTTTTTTAGGGAACAAAGATCACTTGGGGCGGTTTTTACAATATCGCTATGGCTATACAGCCCTCTCCTGGCAGATATCAGCAGTGCTATATGCGGCCATTATGTTAATTAGTTTAAATCAATTTCTGTAAGTTTAATCAAACTTCCCTGCAGGGTATGCTGCCTGTTTGTACAAAAGAGTCTAACGTTCTGCAGTTTTAAAGCACAGACACCGATTCATCCAAACACTTCTGAGCTCTTGCTTTTTTAAGGAGAAACGAAAGCAAATCCCGCTGAAGTAATCAATAGTAATGTTGATTCATTATCTTGTCTAATTAATATTAATTCACATTAGCTATGAATTTCAGGTTGCTTTTGGCTATTCCACCTCGAAGTTTTCCAGTTTGATGGCCGTGGCTGGCAATTTTCAACTTACATACAGGCACACGCTTCGCAGATGGCTAAATGGGAGGCTTACCTAAACCGATCTCCTCTTCCGAGGTCCTTGCAAAGTAACCCTATTGGAGGAAAAAAAAAAAAAAAAAAAAAAAAAAAAGGTAGAGAGAGAAAGGAAACGAAAGAAAAGGTTACAAGTAACAATGTAGATGGGCTGCCTTCCTACGGGAGGTGTTCCATTGCAAACCAAGCCGGCGGCACCGGCGTGTCAAACATCTGTACGAAGTTTTCTGACATTCACAACGCTACGCGGAGCTGCCGGAGCTCTGTAGGCGAAGTTGCCCACCGCATCCTCTGGCCCCGTCTGACCCGCGGGGTCAAGAGGCCGCCAAAAGTCACTTATTCCCGAGCACCATCCAGAGGACGGGACTGTTATTTCCCCAAGCCCCGCCGGCAGGTCCCGCCGCACCCCCCGCCCCGCGCCGGTACCTGGAAGGCCCCCATGGAGCGGCTTGGTGCGGCACTGCCGTGAGCCCCTCGGCGCCCGGAGCTGGGGCAGGGCCCGGGGCGGGGAACAGAGGGCAGCGATCGGGAAACGAAAGCGAAAGCGGCGGCGGGGGCGATCATGGCGGGGGCGCCGCTGCTCGTGCGGCTCAGCCCCGCGCCCGACCCCGGCGACAAGGTGATCCTCAAGCTCCGGACTTACTTCCAGTCGGGAAGGCGGTCGGGGGGCGGCGAGTGCAACGTGCGGGCGGGCCCCCAGCCTGGCACCTACTGGGTGGACTTCCGTGAGGAGCGAGGTACAGGGCGGAGGGCGCAGCTCGACGGGACGGGGGTGGGGGGAGCGGCTGAGCCGTGTCATGGGCTGGAAAAGGCCACCGAGGCACCATCCTTGAGCCTCTGAGCAGGGCAGGGATGGGGCATGGACAGGGGAGGGCAGGGCAGGGGGGCTCTGGGGCCGCTGGTGGTGCAAAATGTGGATTGTGTCAAGAAGAAGTAAGGCTATCGTAAGTCTGGATGTTATTTGATGTAAGATCTTTGTCTACTTTCAAGCCTAATCTGCAAGAAAGGAGAACTAATCAGTGGAACAGGCAGCAACCAGCATGCCTTAGGGGCATCCGGGAACTAACAATCTTTAAGGATGTAGTAAATCAAGCTGTTGATGTGTGTCTATGTTTTTGCTAACATGGCAAAGTACTCAAGGTCCATGTACCCTACACCGAACTGTATTCATTATAATGCTAAAAATCACATCTACAGGTCAAAAAGAACCCTGCCGAGATGAAGACCCTTCCCCTGAGCATACATCAAAGTTAGTGGGGTTATGTGACTTGTGTGGAAATAACTAACCAGTCGTAACAGAGGGGCTGTGCTTGGAAAGTTACTGAGTTTCTGTATATAAATAGTGGTGCAAAAAGTCAGCTAGGCATGCTTGGTTTGTGGAATACCACTGAGCACCTAAGCTTGCACAACTGTGAAATAAATAAGCAGTGTCTCTCTGGAGTGTGTAATTACTGTCTTGCTTGCACACCAGGTAACGAATCTGATTTTATGGGCAACACTGGTAGCCAACACGTTTTCAGGTAACTTTATCAGCCTTATCTGCCTGTCCCCCAAATTATTGCAGATAAGAAGAACGTGGAATCCCGAACGAATCACGTTTTGGAAATGGGTGCAAAACACCTGAAGATAGTCATCCAGCCAGAAGGAGACCAGAGCAACAGCCAGGCTACAGCACAGGCCTCCGCCAGCCACAGCATCCCTGCCAGCCCTGTCCTGCCCCAGCAGGAGCAGTGGTCAGCCAATGGCTGTGGGGATACGGCAAGTGAAGTCCTTACCAAAAAGGTACATCGGGACGAGCACTGTCACAACCTGCCCTGCTTGTAGTTCCATGTAGTCCTTTATGCTGTACCTCAGTATTTCATGCTGAGCAAATGTCGAGCAAACATAATCTCAGTAAATAAAATGGGGGCCAGGAATGACTTCTGATTGCTGGAACAGAGGTCAATCCACACGTGTTTACAGGCAGCATGTTTTCCAGCGCGTCAACCACTACTCCCCAAAGCATCGCCCTGCTAGGTATTGGGCAATAGTATGCACCTACGGCTGCTCCCAAAAGGTGGAAGAATTGTATGAGATTTGGACCCCTTCCAGATACACAGATCTCTATTTCAGCATGGTTTGCACCTTCAAGCAGCCCTACTTACTTCCATCCCTTACCTCAGCATTGAGAAAATCTGCTCTGATGTGATGGAGCACAGCAAACATGGTTTCAGACACTTTGAACTAGAAGTTATATATAAAAGAAAAGATCAGCTGTGTGTCAGGGACATGGGATAGGGCCAGGCTACATGATGTGGATGTGGCTGTACCGAGACACTGACATCTGTCTCAGAGGGTTAACCCTGTTTTGCATGGTAGCACAGATGTATCTTTTGAGGTATAGCACGTGCTACCATAGTACTTACCTGGCATCTGTACCAGTATAGTGCAAATTTCCCTGTCCTTCTGTCTGTGCAAAGTAGACATGTGAGCATGTTACTACTTTTCAGAATCCACTTTTTTGCCCTAACTCTGAGTTACTAAAGCATGACTTTGGGGAAATTTTAAAAGAAAGTTAAGAAGTGAAATCTAGGAAGTCTAATAAATAAAGAATAATGAAATATAACATATATGTGCTGTTAAAAGACATTGTGTCTGCGTCACCTGACACTAAGGGGACAGACAGATTCTTTTGGGGATCCTTGGCAGAATAATGATGGCACTAAGTTTCATTGTAGTTACAATGAAAGTTCTGAGGTTTTTTTAACAGGATTTTATGATTAGCATAGCGTAAAATTAATGATTGGAATAGCACAGAATTTCCACAAGCAGAATCAATGTAGGACAATTACATGAGTGGTGTAGCACTGCCTTTGATAGCACAGCTGAGCTTATTGTTTCTAGTGACCTGGACCCTCTGCAAATCATGTAAAATCTTTAAACTTGGCTTGCTGTATTGATAGAACAACACAGTCTAGACTCGAGAAGCACACAAGAGCTTACGGGTCATCCACTCAGTGCTGAAAGGAACCAGAAGACAGTGGAGGTGTGCCTGGCCGCTGGTGGATCGTGAGTCTCATCCAGCAGCAGCTCAGTCCGAGTTCCCACTTAGGACTTGTAACTGGTTGATTTTGTAGACAGTGCTGCTAAACCTCCCTGTTCTGTGATGGGGTCAACACCACCTGGTTGGCAGGGTGCCTGGGACCTTCAAGGCCATTAAGGAGGGGACTGCTCGGCCTGGTGCCCAGAAACCTTCAGAATGATAGGGAGGGGAAGAAGAAATCTGTTTGCTTTGTCTACTTGGTGTGCAGGACTTTTAGGGCTTGATAATGAGGGGGAAAGGGACTAATACACAATGAGCTCAGTCACAGAGGATGGCTGTGTGCCTTGTAAAATTGCCAGAGGTTGGGAGCAGAGAGTGCTGGTCACAGTCTCAAATTAAGTAGCAAAGTTACTGTTTCTGCTCCTGCAATGCCAATGACATTAACAAATTTCATTTTTGCTGCTGACTTAGAAGCAGATTGTGTTACTTGCCTGTGTGTAATGTCCTTATCCATGACATAAAAGAAACACTGTGGGTAAGTGTGCTTATTGTAATTTGCCCTTACTGAGATGAACAGGGCTTCTTGCTCAAAGTATAGAAGCAGCAAGCATAGAACCTTAGAAAAAACTAATGTTGATATATTCTTGTCTTTTCTTTAGATATTTCTTACAGTATCTGCTACTTTGAATACCAGTATGTTCTCTAAAGAGCAAATGAAGAAAATAACCATCATGTGTCCAAACTTAAAAAGAGAAAGAAACCCTGCCATTGATGGCTTTGAGAAATTGACAGGAGATTTTACAGATATTGAAAAAGCTTATCACTACTTTGAGGATATCCTTGCAGACAATGACACAAACCATGATTTTTCTCATTCTGAAAGTCAGAATGGTTTGAAAGATGAAAATGATCTGAATACTGAAAAAATGGATGATCTTACAGTTATGACAGCTCTCTATGAGTATTTTAGTCACACCCACAAAAAAGAAATCGAAGAACTACACGAACGTTTTGGAGTGCATATAAGAAGTAAAGACAACCACGATGGAACCACAGCAATAACCTTAACTTCTGATGAAAGTCCTGCATTGCTGAAAGCAGCTAGTAATTTTTTCATCAGTACTTTTCAGAGAAGTGTAGAAGATCTCAAACAGGAAAAAATTCCCATAACAAACAGTTACCCATTAGAGGAGACAATAATGAAATTGAATGAAAGATTTAGTAATCTTCTTGCTAAAGTGGAAGGGAATCAGTTCCTACTTCGTGGTCCAGAGAGTGAGATTTTAGCTGCCAAAAAATTTCTAGCAAAGGAAAGTGAGAACAGTCAAGCTGAAAAGAATATGGAAGCATCATCTGTACCATACAAATACAGGAATGGAATTCCAGTTGATGCTTCTGTGTTTAAATTGTTGGAAACCATATTAAAGAAAGAATTTGAAAACATTGAAGAGAAATTTGATACAAGAATAGAAATAATAGGCAAGTCGTACGACCAGAAGATGCTTATAATATTTAGGCCTAAGATCCAAACTTCTGATCTGTCATCACATGCTACTGAAAGTTTCATCAATGCATTTCAAAGTGCCTCTGCAATGTTAAGAGAAAAAGTCATCAGCATGAACCTTTCAGAAGATCAGAAGAAAACTTTAAATGTGCTACTCAAAGAAAAACAATTAGAAGATCTTCATGTAGAACTTACAAAGAAGAAAGACAAGTTAATCTTAATCGGTTTACCAGACCATCTTTATGCTGCTGAAAAGCGCATTATGAACATTTTTAATATTGAAGACTCAGCACAAACTAAAAATAAGGCACCACTGTCCTCTGATCTCAGCTCTCAAGAAGCTACAGGAGCACTTAAGAAGAAACCCAGTGTCAGGCAAAAGAATAATCTTACTTTTGAAGGACAGGCTAAGGCAAAGACAGAAGAAAAAGATGATGATTGTCCAATTTGCATGGACAAAATTAAGAATAAAGAAACATTGAAAAAGTGCAAACATGCATTTTGCAAAAGTTGCATTGACCAAGCCATGGCTATTAAGCAAGTTTGTCCTGTTTGTAATACTGTCTACGGAGTCGTGACCGGAAACCAACCAGAGGGAACAATGACAACTAGACAAAGGAGGTTCCCTCTCCCTGGTTATGAGAATTGTGGCACTATCGAAATTAACTATAATATGAAAGGTGGTATTCAAACTGTAAGTATATTTAAAGATTCCTAAAAGATATTTTTCCCACAGCAAAACCAATACTGAATATAAAATTAACTGTTTTCCCATTGTTTTAATTCAAGTCCAGGAAAGACCTTTCTTTGGTCTGTATAAATCTGCAAGTAGTTAATTCAGTGGGTTTAGGTGCAATTACGTAATATAGAAGGAATTAAATGGTCAGATGGTAGCCCTCCATTTTATATGAGCCAGGACAGAGCTACCTGCCTTTAATTTGTACACTGAGAATAACTGAACTGGTGATATCTATGGAGTGATACCATGTAAACAAGGTTTTGTGAGTATAATGATTCTCTGGGGCATTCTCTTCTCTGTAAATAACAATGGACAAAAATGAATAGCA